CCCAGAGAGAGGGGAAGTCCAGGGTAAATGTAAGGAAAGGAGATTTGAAGGGTGATAAATGTGGATCAGGACTCAGCAACCGTCTGGTCCAAATCCGTGAGCCTACTGGGGAATTACGCTCAACTAGAAACCTCTGCAGGAGTCCGTCTAGAGCAGCAGGCGGTTTCTTGAGGGTAAACAAATCTAAAGCATTATTTACTCATTCACTCATTTTCTTAACTGCTTATCCCTCAGTAGAGTCATGGGAAGCTGGTGCCTAACTCCAGCAGTCATCAGGTGAGAGACATGAGACACTGGACAGGTCTCCAGTCCATCACAGGGACACACACAGACTTCCCTTAATCAACCTGACGTGCATTTTTTTTTTATCTGTGACAGGAAACCAGAGCACCTGGAGAGAACACAAGCATGCATGGGGAGAACATACTGACTCCATGCACAAAGGTTTGAACCTGCAACCTTCTCACTGTGAGACAACAGAGCAACCAACTGCACCTGAACCAACATCAAAGACCAAAACCCAGTTTCTACCATTTAAATTCATTTTTATTTCTGAAATTTTCTTGTCTCTGCGAGTGCCACCTTGCTTCTTGAGCATTGTTCTGCTCTGAGAATGTAGGCAAAGATCTGTACATTTTTGACAAAAATTAGGACAAGCAGCAGATTAGAAACAAGCACTCAATAAAGTTCCAGTAGCTCTCAGACAGATTTGAAGAACCCCTGTAGCTCCTTAAACTTTCCAGTCTAGCGGCACTGTAGGATCTGGCCTCAGTAAGAAAACAGGAGATTAAAAAAGTGATTAATCTTTTGAAAACAGTCATGTGAAAAAAGTATTTTGTTTATAAAGGTTAAAAAGGTCATAGAATCACATTGATGATAAAACTGGGTTATTTAATTCAAAAATATTTTCTTGTCTTGAATCTTTCTAAACAGCTGAATGAGCTTTTGTAATCTTACAACCACAGACCTCAGAGATCTCTTCACCGTGCTATTCTTTTCGTAGCGACTCCCATTTGACATCAGCCTTATGGTGCAACGTTATTAAGTAACATTTTTTTCTCTTTTGGAAATAAACACTCAATCATTTTTGGAACTACTCTTTCTCCGTAGATTTCAACATTTAAATATGAATATATATATATTCAGCCTTGATTCTAAATACTTAGAAATCATTCATGAAATACATAGTTTAGTTCTAAATATTTAGACATTACTAATACATATTTGGATTTGATTTGAGTTGAAGTATTTTTCATTTGACTTGTAAAAAATTTGATTTATTTAAAAAATATGTAGTTAACTTGTATATGATCAGATCTGATTCTAAATATTAAGATTTAAGTCATGAATATTAAAATGTAATACAAAATATTTGAATTCCACTTAAAAATATTAGGATTTTTATCCACATATTTAGATTTACTTAGTACACTTTTAGATTCAATTCTAAATATGAAAATGTTACTAATAAGTATTAAAACTTAAACAAAATATTTTAATCTGACATAAATATTTGGATTTAAATCTACATATTTAGATTTATTTTGCACACTTTTGGATCTAATTCTAAATATTTAGATGTTACTAATAAGTAATTAAAATTAAATTAAATATTTTAAATTGACATAAATATTTGTATTTGAATCTGAATATTTAGAGTTGTCTTGCACACATTCAGATGTGATTCTAAATATTTTGAACATATTTAAAACATTTCGATTTCATTCTAAATATTTATTTAAATATTTTTAGAGCTATATAGTAAAACTATTTTGTAATTGGCACCTGGTATGTGTTACAGGTTTTAAGTGTCATTTGGCATCTGAGATTTAAAACGGCTGCAGGCTGGTTCAACCCTCTTATTAATTATTGTAGATTTTAGGTTTTTCACTACGCTTGTAGAGGTCAGAGACTAAAAGAATGAAACTCATACAGCGTAAAAGGTTTCAGACAAAAACCGAACAGAACCTAATAAAAGGCAGATGTGATAAGACAGAAAGCGAAGTATTTTGAATACTTGTCATCTTCTAAGTGTTTGTTGCTCAGACTGGAAGATGAGACCATTTGGAAATATAAATCTAAGACTTTGGCGTCACGAATGGTGACTTGTACCTGTTTCTGCAACAGAACATGTGAAGTTATCAGTAGATTTAGGGATTATTGTCATGGTATAGGAAGGTGAGGATCCAAATGCAGGTGAATAAGCTTCTGGGAGGTTGCCGAGAAGGTAAAAACTCTTTTCTTTCAGAGACACGTCAGGAACAACAAGGAAACTTGAGGAGAACAAAAGCTGACACATAGCAAATGCAAGAGGGTTATCCCGAAAACAGGTGGGTGGGGTAACGAGGGGCAGGGGAACAAATCTGACAATTATGACTCCAAACCAAAAACTGACACACACGCACACACACACACACACACACACACACACACACACACACACACACACACACACACACACACACACACACACACACACACACACACACACACACACACACACACACACACATGCACCAGAAGCGGGTTCTATTGCTCCAGTACAATAATACAGCACCACTCTGTGGCTAGCTAATATTCCTGCAGCTAAAACTCATTTATAAAGCAAAAACAAATTATTTCCTAAAACCACAACAAAAGCTGCAAAATCACCTTGATATATATTTTTCTAACACTATCAGTCACAGAGCGGTTAGTTTTACCGTGAGCCTGGAAAAGTATTTTCACTATATAAATGTGTTTAATCTAAGGCAAAACTACCTTGCATTATTTAAAGATTTATTGCCAAGGATCGTTACCAAATACGGACAAGTTTAGTTTTGATAAGAATATTTCTCTGTTCCCTGTTGAGTTTGATGTGGATGTGGTTGGATCTGTGTGTCTGTCCGTCCGTCCGTCCGTCCATCTATCTATCTATCTATCTATCTATCTATCTATCTATCTATCTATCTATCTATCTATCTATCTATCTATCTATCTATCTATCTATCTATCTATCTATCTATCTATCTATCTATCATCTATCTATCTATCATCTATCTATCTATCTATCTATCTATCTATCTATCTATCTATCTATCTATCTATCTATCTATCTATCTATCTATCTATCTATCTATCTATCTATCTATCTATCTATCATCTATCTATCTATCTATCTATCTATCATCTATCTATCTATCTATCATCTATCTATCTATCTATCTATCTATCTATCTATCTATCTATCTATCTATCTATCTATCTATCTATCTATCTATCTATCTATCTATCTATCTATCTATCTATCTATCTATCTATCTATCTATCTATCTATCTATCTATCTATCTATCTATCTATCTATCTATCTATCTATCTATCTATCTATCTATCTATCTATCTATCTATCTATCTATCTATCTATCTATCTATCTATCTATCTATCTATCTATCTATCTATCTATCTATCTATCTACATCTATTTGGCCGTCCATTCATCATTGTCTGCCTGTCTGGGGTCAGGTTGTTTTGGCGTCTTGTATACATGATCTCATTTTTTGGTCACTACTAAATTGAGAGCTTCACCTTCTGACTCAGCTCTCTCTTCTCCACGACAGACCGGTACAACGCCCACATCACTGCAGATGCAGCACCAATCCGCCTATCGATCTCATGCCCCTGACAAGGCCCCAAGATACTCCTCCACTTGGGGCAGGACCTCATCCCTGACCTGGAGAAAGCATTCTACCCTTTTCCGACTAAAGACCGTGGTCTCGGATTTAGAGGAGCTGTTTCTCATGCCAGCTGCTTCACACTCGGCTGCAAACCGCTCCAGCAAAGGCTGGAGATCACGTTCTGGTGAAGCCAACAGGACCACATCAACTGCAAAAACAGAAACTTCATCCTCAGGTCAACAAAATTGACCTCACCAATCATCACATTACACTTATTTTATTTATTGCAGTGAAAAGGTATTGCAGAGTAAACCAAAGCAAACTAATAAATATAAAGCGATTCCTTTACCAGTATTTTCATTGAACTTCTATAGCTTTTGACATTCTGTCATAATTTTTTATCTCAGTGGGCCACCCTTAAATTATCAGTGGTCCCATTTGGGAGCTACTTTTGGACACTGACCAGAAAGACTTGAGGGGAAACCCTATCCACAGAGGAAGAGGTCAGGTGGTGGTGAAGTTACAGTTTTTCT